TAAGAAGGTATAACGTCGATGCTGATCCTGTCAAATGATTTAAAATCTCAAGAAAACATAAAAAAGCAAAGGCATGAAATCTTCACACAAGAGTCAACAAGTTTGCCCTTTTAGCGACGCTGATGGCGCAACAAGAGTATCGTTCAAGGTGATATTCAGGCAGACCCCCATTAAATCTCACGAATGAGACATCGAGAGAAATTATTCATGTGTGAAAAATTCAAGTTGCCTTTAAAATCAAGGTTGACTCAAAATGCACACGAGTTAATTTCAAGTCAACCTTGGTTTTAAGGTTAACTTCATGGGTAGCCTTTAGTAGTATAGGACGCTCCCATACCGGGTAACCAATCACAGAGCCGGATATCGCACACGTGACCACTAAGAACAATAGATTTCACACCCAAGAACAATAGATCGATTGTTTTCAATTCCCAAGGGACGTCAATTAGATGGCAATTATATGGAGATATGTGGTGGATTATATATATGTGTCTAAGAGGGATTTTGTCATCCATGTGGGAGTCTTTTTTAGGCAAGGCGCATGCGCAGAAAATGTAAATATGATTTCAAATATCTAATTTTTCAAACACCGCACATTTTACAATTGAAGGTAAAGTTTTTAAGTCGTGAGAGAATTTTTCAACCCTAAAACGCAATAAAAAATCTTAAAGCGCAGTAAAAAAAATAAAGCAAAAATAATCTATATGAGAGTTTTTCCATTTAAGCGTGTGAACAATAAAAACTCACAAAAAATAAACTTTCAACATGTTTATTACAAAAAGTTTACTACCAAAAAAGTTTATTATTACAAGGAGTTAATTACAAAAACAAGTGTGAAAGAAAAAACCTAAGCAAAATTTACAAAAAGCAAGGGAAAAAAAGCAAATGCAAAAGAAAAAAACTTAAACGAAATTTACAGCAAGTAAGGAAAAAGGCAAGGGCAAAAGAAAAACCTTAGCAAAATTTACAAAGAGCAACGACGGAAAAAAAAAAAAAAAAAGCTTAAGCAATGGCCAGTAAATTTTCTAAGATAAATCGAAACCTTTGAATGGATTTACGTTTGTTTTGGGCCAAGAATCTCAAGACTCTCATCTCGATGAATCGTGACCAGATACAATCTACTATCAGCTCGTACCAACGTAACGTTCTCCGGCATTCTTTCCTGGATAAATTGAAGGAAAAAAGCGTCTCTTTCGGCAGGGATTCTTTCATTCCACACGTAGTGAAGATAGGCATTGTGGCGATGGGCTGCCACCCAATTGAATTGCCTCCTTTCTGGTGGCAGGACTCTTTCATGTCTGTTAGCTAAGGCTTCTAAGACTGTCATCAGAGGTTCTGCTCTACAAAATGGACAAGAAGGCCGTAGGTGCCTTTGCTGCTGTGACTGGTACCAATCCATCAAACAGGAGGTGTGAATCACCTGCTTGCAGCAGGGCGTTTCTTCATCACAACCAATTACACAAATAGTGCAGGCTCGATCTTCGGTTCCTGAAAGAAATAAAGTGAGACTTAGGTCTTTTCATACTTCACTAATTGACGATTATGAAAACGGAAAAAGATTCGAGTACGACATGAACTTACCGTGAGGTGCTCTCACTCCAATCATTTTGCAAAAAAAAAATTTATATATCAGTATTTCCAAAAAAAACGCGAAGGGCATTACATCATCAACGAAATGTGATTAAATTCTTCGTCCACGAAACGTTCTTTTATGTTCGGTCAAAATCCCAAAGGGCCTTTTTCTTGAGCTTTTGTGAATATCACACTGTGTGTGTGTGTAAGCGTCTGTTTGGTCCCAAAGGCCTTTTTCTTGAGCGTTTTGTAAATATCACACGGTGTGGATGGGTGAACCTGTATGTGTGTAAGCGTCTGTTTGGTTCCAAAGGGTCTTTTCTGCTTGAGAGTCTGTCACGTTCGGGCTCTTTGCCTGATCAAAGGTCCATGCTATTAGAAGGTAAGTTTCTTTGAATACACTTTACAATGAAGGAAAGAACAACGCTGCTTAATCAATACAGCCTCTTTTGCTCAATTAAAGAAAAAATCCATGCTATTCAAAGGTAAGTTTCTTGAATACACTTTACAATGAAGGAACGAACAACTGTGCTTAATCGATACAGCCTCTTTCGCTCAATTAAAGGAAGAGTCCTTGCTATTCAAAGGTAAGTTAATTAAGAAACGAACAGCGCATTACAGTATACAACTAAGAAACATTTTAAATTATAATCACAAAACCTGTTTTTAGGTGCTTTTTTACTTTGAAACAATACTCATACTATGAGATACTTGCCATCTGAAAATTCACAAGCACCATTCATTATCAGAATTCTTTTCTTCAACATAGCAACAAGTTGTAATGGAGGAAGGAATGAACAACTCTTTGGTTAATCAATACAGCCTCTTTTACTCAATTAAAGAAAGATTCCATGCTATTCAAAGGTAACAATATTGCCTCTTTTATTCAATTAAGGAAAAGGTCCATGCTATTTAAAGGTGAGTTTTATTTTGATAAAGAAACAAACATGAAAGCTTTATGAAGCGTCGGTCATGTTCGGACTCTTGGCTGAATATTTTGTTGTGCATAATACAATTGTTGATTAATTATTTGAGTGAGTATAAGTGCATTTATGCGTGTGTATGTAAACCCCTCGCAACCATTTTTCCAAGTGAAAACATTTTCGCAATCTTGCCCATACAGGCCCTCCCTTGCTCAAACTTGCCCTACTAATTCAAAAGAAACCCTTTATTCCCCTGAGTATTCGTCTTTGATTTCCACAAAAAACATTTTAAACGCACAATTTATTTCAAACATGCGTGTGAGAGAACATCATGGCAAAGAGAAAATTTGTTGAAGAGTTGAGTGATGAAGAGTTATTAAAAGTTGTAGAAAACATCGAGTCGAAAATGGTTAATGAAATGAATGGCAAGGAATTGTTGAAGGCTGTGAAACGTTTCGAATCACTGCTCTTTGAATTCGAGTTTCAAACTGTGGGGCCGTGTAAACGTTGGAAGAAAAATGAGATGGCAAAACAACGATTTACAGCACACTTGAAAGAATTACGCCAACCTTCACCAGATGATAATGTCGGCGTTTCAATCACTCAATGCATGTGTGAAAACCATGTGTCACATTTTCACCAAATGTACTGAATGCTGCAAAATCATTGAAAACCTCGGAATAAGAAAAACAAAGGAGGAAAAAAACACTAATGGGGTGTCACTCAATGTCCCGTATGCCAAGAAGACGTAGATATCAGAACCCACAAATTTTTCATTCAACCTGCTGATGAAGAGGAACAACTCGACGCTCTAAAGAAGAACGAAATGCTCGCATCAAACGATTACAGCGTCAAGGCATCCCCATGTCAGCAATGGACCCTGATGAATTAGATTTCAAAGATCCACCCATCTTTGTCTATGCCGATTACGAAGTGATGCAATCAGCCGACGGTGAACACCAACCTATTATGGTATGTTGCGAAACCAATCAGGAGAACCATACACATGTATTTTATGGCGAACATTGTTCTCAGGACTCTCTAGAATTTCTAGATCAATTGGCTATCAATGAAGACGAATTCGAAAGACCTGTCATTGTCATGTTTCACAACCTGATAGGTTATGACGGTATGTTTATCCTACAAGAACTGTACAATCAACATCGTCTGGTGGAAAATCAAGTCTGTGTCGACATCAAAGTCCTTTCCGTCACGTCTGGCTCTATCACCTTCAAGGCCTCTACCATCTTATCATCGGCTTTCCATTTATCCTCTAGACTCTTTGCCTTAGAGTAGTCAATGTCGTGCTGTCTGGCAATGCGATCCAAACGATTGATGCACTGATCCCTCGATCCAGGCGTTTTTTCAAAAATATGCCTGGTCCTAAGAATTGATAACGTTTCTTTTTAGATAAAGAATAAGGATGAAATTCCACTCCTAATTTTGCAATCCAGTTTTGAATGTCAAATTTGCCTCCTCTCTGCCCTTTTTTCGGTGGAGCCTTCCTTTTGGTTCTTGTTTTCCTAGAACTCCTCATAGTCTTTGTCCAGTTGTCTTCTCAAGGATTTTTGTAAAGCGGCCTCTTTGCTTTCTCTTAACCAATCCAATTCCGTCTTTGACTTTGGCGTCGTTTAGATCTTCCACCTCTTTCTGTTGACTCAGACATTGTTTGCAATGTAATTTCTTTTCGAGATCCATAGCCCTCTTACGCCAATAGTCGCGATTCTTTTCCATTTTATGACTATTCTCTTTCCATTCTTCTACCAATTCGTTAACCTCGGTTAACAAATGCGTCAGAGCACTCTAAGTCTGACAACTCGTGATTGAAAACAGTTACAGTACGCTTCATGTAGACCTTGCCAAAAGCCAGAGCCTTTCTGATTCATCAAATGAAGTCATCTCTTTTTTTATAGAATTTTTTCTCCTACTCAGTTCTTTGAGCACCTCTTTGTGTCTTCTCAATTTAGCCATGAGCGGTGGTGACACCGGAACAATTTTTTAACATGTTTAATACCAATTCACTGACAGCATTGATTTGTTCCCCATTGGCGTGTTGAATCAAGTCATGACGTTTGTTTCGATTTCCCTCTCGTAGTATAGAGAGCAAGAAAGCTCTATGTCTCAAAAGTCGTTTCATGTTTCACTCGCTTCTTCCTCTTCTTTAGCTTCTTTGACCATAACTTCTTCATTCCTTTTTTCAAAACAAAGTGACCTAAGGCAACAGCTGCCTTCTTTCCAAGCTTTTTGATTACGGCTGAAGTCACCAAAGCTTTTATAGCCGGTACAGCCGCTACCGCCGGAGCAAATCCACCTCTCTGCATAATACGTTGCCCTCCTCTTTCCTTTTTCATAGCCTGTGACCTTTATAGGTGTTTATGCGGAGGTAAAATGAAACATCGCATACAGCCTTCATGCTTTAATAAGCAGCTCACAACGCGAAACCTATCATGACTGGCCAGATGAAAATCGACCGTCAAATATCCAAACAGTCGCTCGGTTTCTTTTTCATGTTTTAGGATACGCTTGTAATAAGATATTACGCATACTCAGTTGATCGTGAGGATTCTTGAAAGCCACAATGTAATGCGAATTACGAGTAATGGTCTTGGCGTATTTACCAGGTGGAAACATATCTTGACAGAGATAAAGAACGGTAATGTTTTGGTGATGAGAATGTTTGGTAAACAAATCCATGACTTCTTTGTCATTACCACCTTCAGCCATTAAATCATCCAAAACCAAAATACCTCCTTTTGCTGTAAACCATTTTTGTAGATGTGATACATCGGGGACTCCTTCGTGAAATTTTATACCCATGTGTTTCATATGATCAAATTTGTCTTGCCATGCTCCATAACAATACACTATAGCGGTAGGTGGCTGCGCAAACAAATCGGATATATCATGTACTAACAAAGATTCGGTGAAACAAGTTTTGCCGCAACCTGAAGGTCCTACGATTAAAATACTGGAAGGAGACTTAAACTTGAACAATACCGCACGTTCCATGATTTTGATACAAAGCTACAGATGACGGTGGTTTTTATAGAGACAAAAGATGTGAAACAAAGGATCAAATAAATATGTTTAATTTTCACCTACCATTGAACATTGCCCTGATCGTCTAGTGGTTAGGACACTGCGTTGTGGCCGCAGTAACCCAGGTTCAAATACTGGTCACGGCAAATTTTACGTGTTTATTTTTATTTATTTCTTTTTAAATGTATTTGTTTATTATTTTTTTAAATCATTTTTTATTTATTTCGTTTTTGAAAAGAAAACTTGACATCCTTAGAGATGTAAGGCCATGTTCAGGTTGGGTGAGATGGATTCATCTTCCTCTTGTAAAGTGTACTGTACTTCCACGCGATCGTCTGATTGTATACCAACGTACTTGATTTGGAGGGCGTCGCTGTTACAGAAGGTGGAAAACTTTTGGGGGTCATCAAATTCCCAGACTTGTGTCTTGTTGGTACGCTGACCAAATTTACCCCACATGGAGTTTAACATCATCTTGGCCAGCGTACGCAGTCCGGGATTTTTCTCGATCTTTTCAATAGCCTTGAGGAGTTCTGGTGTGCACCAGGTCCCTACGAGTTGGCGTTCCGAATCCGTGTAAGTACAGACGGGAGTACGCTCCAGAAAGGGTTTAGACATTTCCTCTGTCACGCAGGAGGCACAGAGTGAAAATGTGACTTTGCCGGCGTGACGGTAAGGTAGCATGGGATGGAAGAGACTGTGGGGTGGAAGCATCATGCATTTCGCTAAGCTGAAATAACGAGAAAGGTCTGTATGACCGGGTTGAGAGATGATCTCAGGATGTCCTAGAGGGTACTCACCGTTCTTGTTGACCCACGGGTACATAGACATGACATCGAGGTAACGAATCTTTTCCCTGCGAGTCTCGTCTACCTTGTGGTAGAGTCGTAAGGCGTTCTAGGACCTCCAAAGAATGCATCCCGAGGATTTAGAGGGGCCGAGAGATTTAGGGCATCAACGAACGCGCAAACATCATCATGGAACTCGTAGACAGTGTTGGTTTTCTCATGGTATCTGTCTACCGTGTACTGGGAATGGGGAATCCGGTACTCGCCAAAATTGCCCGCATGTTGGATGTAATCGTCTTCATCCGGTAACTGGTGCTGTTGCCAGTGGAGCCATTCCAGGGCGACACGAGAATGATTGGTGTTCAAGCGCCACCTGTGGAGCGGTTCATTGGTGATCGCGTTAGCTTCCATGCGGTTCTAACGGAGATCCCGGTTGCAAGCAGAGGTGGTGGTGATGTGGGAAAAGGGATTGAAGCGAGCCAGAGGCTCGAATACAGACTTGAAGGAGAGACACCCCTGCTTAAGGAGTTTGACATCAGACTCGCAGTATTCAGTCAACTCCTTTTGGAAGTCGTAGATGACACTGGCCACACGTTGTCGAGTATGCCACACCTCAAAGTCCCGTCGCGCAGATACAGACATGACGTCTGGCATGAAGTAGGAAGTGTCAGGAATGCCTCCGATGTATGATTGTTTAGAAAGGGTGTTGAAGAGATGCGGAAAATACCCCTTCTTGAGTTCGGTGAGACCAAAAGTCTTGGCAAAGGCTGAGAGTGGCATTTGGAAGAAGGAGTGAGAATCTATAAAGGTGATACGATCAAAGGTGACCCACAACAACTTGGCACCGTTCCTCAACTGCTGGACAATGCAGTGTTGACGATGGTACTTTTCGACGACAAAGTAACTGTCGTACCCTTGGAAATTGTGGGTCAACACCTTGACCTCTCGGCTGTCCTCCTCCATCCACGTGTCCAGCAACTCCAAGAAGTCGCGCATGCACTAGTCTCCCCAGAAGCGGACTGGACACTTGTCGTTCTAGGCTTCGGCCACGACAAGATTCGGAACGTGACGTCCTGTGTCCTGCATGGCCTCCACATCGAAGAATACGTGTAACAGAGGTTTTTTGTCATTGAGGTCGACACCGTCCACAGGAGGTGAAGGAAGAAGAGAAGTGGAGGGCACATCATCCTCGTTGGAGTGCACGGTGGCCAAGCCGGCAGCATCACCACGCAGACGACGACCAGGTCTTCATTTGGCGCAATGTTCCACCCATTCATCCTTGGGAGTCTTAGCCACTTGAATGAAGCACCGATGCGACAAGGCTTCGACGTAATGGTGACACAAAGGACACGTGATGTAGCCACACCGGCCTTGGGCCTTGGTGTAATCCGGACATCCAGTCTGGAGACATGGACTGCAGTGGTCCGGGTTGTTGTCGCAGGCGTGGTGAGCTTGGTTGCCATAGGGTTTGAGACACCTTGCGCAGAGGTAGGAGGTGCCAAAGAATCCGGGTAGAGAAGTGATGACGTTGTGATGGCCATCGTCATAGAGGAGGACGAGCTGCTTTTGTGAAGGTGGGCCAAACGACATCATGACATACTCGCGCGTGGCATCGCGCGGAGTTCGTCATACCCACATGGACCTCGGGGAACTCTCGTTTCGTGATGAAGGTCTACTGCATGTTCTGCTTGGATCCTTCTGCCTCTTTTGAACCTGTCCCAGCTGGGGTGTTGGTCAAGTCTGGCTTTGGCCGTGACGATGGTTCTGGCGGAACAAAGCTCGTCTCCTTTCTTAATGAGGAGCATGGACAACTTCTTTTTCTTGAAGGACGTCAAGGCGGAATGGCCGGGTTTCAACTTGCGTTTGTAACCAGAACCCGCTGGAGATGCGTGCACGTGCGTGAAGGAGAGTTGGAAGGAATCATCCATATCGAACTGTTCGTTGGAGTTGAGCATGGCGCTCATTTGTTGCAGAAGGGCGTCCACCTGTGCCCCACCTCGAAGCCATTTGTTGGCCGTCAGACCGTGATAATTGTAAGCGTGGGATAGTCGATTACTCGATAGTCCCAGGTACACGCGATCTTGGGCCAGGACATGGTCTTGTTCAATGAGACGACGGACGGCAGCATGCAGGGCTTCGGTAAGAGCCGAAGGTACATGGTGGGAAGGAATGAATGCACCGCGTTGTCTCAGACGCGTGGTGTAGTGTCGTTCTTGCACTCCCATGCATTCACTCCTGCGATCCACAAAGGGATCCAAAAGAAATTCGAAAGAACCGGGAGGAGCGGAAGAGGAAAGGGCTGCACCTCCCAGTTGAGATTGATAGGAAAATTGACAATGAAAAGCTTCACTTACCTCGTTTAATATGACGTCCGCCACGTCTTCTACAAATTCATTCTCACTTTCTTCATTCCTAGCCGCAGCTAGTAGAGTTTCATCATCCACGCCTGGTACGAAACTTCCAAAGTCTGGTGGTCCTGCTTCCATGTTGACTGAGGCAGAAGAGGAATACTGGGAAGGAGACTATACTTATATACTGAGTTCTACGTCATCACACCATATTGGGAAGCACCTTCATATTAGGACTAAGTGGTGTAGGGGGAGGGGGGTATCCCCTAGTCCTACTAGAAGGGTACTGGTACCAAGTTTGTAGTGGTTATAAGAAGGTAGGCTTTTTCGAAGGGACTCATTACTCATTGGTAGGAGAGACGAACGAATGAACAACATGAATGGAGACCTGGAAGATAATCCCAAATGGGCAGCCTTGTACCTAGAAGACATGATGGATATTATGCAGCACCGAGCGGACGAGGATTCCTTGAGACGAGTGGTACGCTATGCCAAAGCTTACATCTGGGACATGATGGAAGAGGAAGACAACAACGAACTGACGGACGACGAGAAACGGTTTCTAATCCTGAGGAATCAAGTCATGCGCGCCTTTACGAACTTTGTCAAATTTTGTTACGATGTAGGGTGCAATTGAGGAGGGGGGTAGGGTCGAAGAGGAAGAAGAAAAATGTAGCGTTTCGAATAAGGACGACGCGAAGAGAGAAGGAAAAGAATGAGACTTTTGTTACAACATTCGTTTTTTATTGTTCCGTTTTTTACAATGTTAATGAAACCAAAAATTTGGTAACGGTCTAGTTTCCACCTGAATGGTTCTCTGAAATAAATTGTGTAATTCTTGTGTCATTTGAAGAGTGATGCATCTGCTCCCCACGATGGTAGTGTTTTGAGGGTGTAGGTAGGGCGGGTGACATGGGACAAATCTCTGTTGCGGGTAGTCAAATTGGTATCACCGGTCTGTGTAGACGCACACGGGTTTTTGTTGCTCAAACGCCATTTGCACGCTCCAACCGGTTCCTCCCTGTAACGTGTGGGGTTTGGTTGTGTGGAAATGTCCAAAGGCCAGCACGAGATTAGTATCCCTCACCACCCAATAGTTTCTCTTTAACAGTCCCGTCTTTAACACCTTATTGGGTAGAGAGCGTTGCAACGTCTTGTTGGCGCGTAACCTCGTGCAACATGCTTTCCGTCAAAGGCGTGATACGAACGGCGCGGGAGTGAGTGGGCGGAATTATGACGCAAACACTCATGTCCTACCTTCTGGCCAATTCCTTGGCGAGAGCATCCACACCTTCGGCGCCCCCAGTGTACAGGACACGCCCATTCGAAATACCCACTTCCATGGGGAACGTCATCCTTAGCATCTCGTAGGTGCAACGACTTGAACAACTGGCACAGTAAGTCTTCCCAAGCTTTGTCTCTTTCCCTCTCCGACCGCAATCTGGAATAAGAGTAGAATGATAGCATAATGACTACGATACTACAAAACCTGCTTTCTTTATGGCAGGGACATCACGTACGCTTCAACGCTTGACCAAATATGGTCATTGGAAGAGCACCTACGACGCAGTAGCCTATCATATACGGAATAGAATGACGCATTGCCCTTCCATATATGGAAAAATGACCTTTGATGCGACGCTATCCAAAAATAGGAAGGGTATTGTTCTCTGCAGTATATAGGTGACCCTCATTTACCTGTCAAGACATTTGTTGCAGAGCAGGCAAGCAAGAACCACCAGAAAATAAAATGACCGACAAACAGAAGCTCACCAAAGGAAAACCAGCTGTCCCTTACAGCAAGAAGAAGGCGCCTGCCAAGAAACCCGCCAATGAGGAGCCTGCGGACGAACAGTACGTGGACATTGACCATTACGATTACACCAAGAAAGATTGGAAAGTGGTTCCATGTCCTGGGCGGGAAAAAGGCAGACGAGAGACTGTAGTACCCCAGCCTTCTGCGAATGCTCTGCCCTCTGAATCTCCTTGTACAGACTGTTAACGTTAGGTTTTTTGGTTCGTTGTTACAGATGAAATTGGAAAAGATGATTTAGTGGACGTAGGTGTGTGGTGCGGACCTGCATTATTCTTAAAACTTTGCCATCGTTTGAACGTCACGCCCCAAACGAAGGACGAACTCTTAGATGAAGTGTACAAAATAATTTTTTCATAGTTTTTAAAATTTTTTTGTTTGTTTTCGTTAGGACTACGATTTAAAGAAGGTGTACCTTCCGATGATGTTTTGAAATGTATTGCCAAAGCGTTGGCCCAGGAAAAGGTCGAAAAGGTGACTTGATTCTTCTGTATTTTAATGGACCGACCTTACGACGATATATTGAAAGAATTGTTAGAAATAAGCATATAAACAATAAAAATGTGTGAATGTCATGTCTTGGTTCATTTCTTTTGTATCCTATCATGGGTAAAAGACGTAGTGGCAATAGACCCTCACGAAGGAAGAGGAAGAAGAGAATTTCCCAAAAGGGTGGGGCGTCTGTATGTACTGTGAATAGAATTTTAAATCGAGGACCCTCTGCTACAGATAAAGCGGCTTACATGGTTAGTATGTTGTTGTCCGGACCCGCCCCAGGATTCAGCATCTTGGGAAGATTACTAGGTAAACAAGTTCTTAAGGGGGCCATGGACAATGTGAATCATTATCGAGGTAGACGCTGATCATGGAAAAAGCTTTCTATTACCTACACTATAAACTCTCACACTGGGTATGCATGAAGATCAGGGACGTTGTCACTATGAACTCTAGTGTTATGAAAATTCCATGAATTTCACGTGAAAAACCCATGAGGATCATTTCATGGCCCATGAATACTGCAAAAAGAGATTTCATGGGGTTATTTTTAGCCCTGAATTTTCCATGACTTTGGGGAATTTTTTTCATGACCCATGAATTTCTTCAAAGTCTATTTTCATGACCCATTGATTTGCCATGAAAGTCACCAGAATTAATTTCATGACCCATGAATTTCTTCAAAGTCTACTTTCATGACCCATTAGTTTCCCCAGAAAGTCATCAGAATGAATTTCATGCCCATGAATTGCAATCAAACAGCATTTCATGGGTTAACAATTCATTTGTTTTGGGAGAACAAAATTAATGGGCCATGAATATTCCCTGAAATCTGTTGCCCATGAATTTCATTGATGAATCCATAGGCCATTAAAAGTGGTATTAATGAGTTCATCACAGTCACTGATTTATGAACGAGCTGACTTTCATGACCCATGGAACTGACTTGGTATAAATTTATCCAGTGATGGAATATTGGTGTACAGCACGTAAACTGTCAAATGAAAATGTCCCTAAACATCTTAAGTGGCCTGTGTTAACGTAAAATGTACAGGAAATCACAAAATAATGACTTAAAACAATGGATCTTCAATTTGCTCCTTTGTTGAGACAAATGGGGCTGGAGGCAATGACCCAGATGTTTGATCCTCACTTTGATTTTTTGGGGCCTTTTTGCCTTCGCCATGCCTGGACGACTTTGTTGAATTTTTTCTGCCTCACTGCTGGCTTTGATTGTTAGCCATGACTCTGGAAACCTGTTCAAGGCCTTCTCTTACATTCTTACGGCTGAGGAATCTTCTAGGGGTTTTCCAGTAAGGCACCTGCACAGTACAGATGCTTAAGTTGCACAGCAATAGTACGCACTACATCTACACGAAATGTGGAACAAAACAATGAAAAATAAATCACTTTCTCACCTCAATTTGGAACTTTGAATGGTGTGCAAATGTGACCTGAAAAAAATGCCATTTTTACCTCGTTCATAGAGTCGCCGGTTAACAGAGTCAGGCCATCTTCTCAGTCGGGATGAAACGTTACCTTCATGTTTTCATTGACATCGCCTTCTACAACATCGTTGTTGATTTCGTGATCGCTTTCACAGGAATCACTGTCGATGTCAGCTCTGACTTTCTTGGACTCTGATGTCCTGTCGATTGCTACTTGCTTCGAATTCCAAACACCGAACAGCTTTTTGTGCTGCTTTATTTTGTAAGATTACAGACGCAGTGACGAGACCTCTTCGGAGTCATTTCGTAACGTCGAACACGATAACCTGTGAGGTCACCATGTGACCGCTGACCTATGATGGCTGCGATGACCTAAGGTCACCACGTGAAAGTACACGTGATTTACGAAGAAGTGGCGGTTTTTTTCCCTACCTCGAACGGAATGGTTCCATTCCAATTGCATTTCTCGTAGTGTTTTTGTAGCAGTTTCTTTTTTTCCAGATCAACGCAATGGACCATCTGAAAAGTTTTTTTATTATGAAGTTATCGATATGCATTACAACGTGAAGGGGTAAGTTCAAGCTTGGTCATCTTATTACGCGTAAACATCGGAGCGCGCGCGCTAACTATTGATTTAACTTGAAAATTTTTAGTTCTGTGATCATCTGGCGAAATATTACAAGAGTTTGTATGGAAATACTTACGACCGTTCTTAGGAATAAAAAATACAGTCAAATTCTGAATACGAAATACCTCACCCCACTTCCACAGTGCGGGTAAGTACTAAAACAAGGAACGACCTAAAACCACCTAAACCACCTACAACCACCTACAACCATCTACAACCACCTCAAAAATTTCAACAACCACCTACAACCACCTCAAAAACATCTACAACCACTCGCAAACTATCTAAAACCATCTAAAACAAGGCATAAATGTCTAAAAGAAGGCGAAACGACAACATGTCACGTACACGAAATACGATAATCGAACGAAGCCCCTACCTCCCCCTGAAATCTTACTCTCCCTGGTCCCATGTATAATCAACCATCTCACGAAATGAAATGCGATAGCACGCTAATTATTTTATATTCCCTCAGCAAAAGACTTAAAGAACTTTACAAAATGAACTAACAAGTTACAAAAAATAATAAATAGGGAATAATACATGGGCGCGC